ATTCTCTGCCTACTCTACTGCCATCTACCTCCAACGACTCAACACTGGGGATAGGAGGGAAGGGGTCGTAGAGGGTGGAAGAATTTTTGAGAGGAATCGTACCTCAGACTTCGCCTAACGGTAGTAAGTGCACTGGTTACCAAATAGCTAATCTATTCAAGCGTGGACTAGTAGCAACAAGTTAAAGTTAACGCTGCACTTAGAATTAGGTGCAGCGAAATTAGCTTCAAAAGTGAATTCTGGTGCTAATATCCTTGGGGGGGGGGGACCTGCAAGATTTTCCAGTATGTCTCTTAGTTTTTTCTTTTGTCTTTCCATAACGTGTCCCATATGCAAGTCCGGAGAATCCCCGTCAGTACTCTATAGACCTAGTCAAGCTTACCGAAATGATACCAGTGTCATTAGAATGCCATTTCTTCGGGTATGCGACAAGAGAATCGTAATTCGCCGCGCTGATGGGCGTCGCGTGCGACGTCGCGCCCGCTAATGACGATGTTTCCAGGTCGTATAAGACCAATGTAGAACCGAAAATAGTCATAAATGTCTACAGTTTCATAGCCTATGTGAAATCCGATGCTCCAGTCGACGGGCTAACACCACTTAAGAAAACGCCGCGGCCATCGCCGGGCGCGGCGAAACTACGATTCTCTTGTCCGTCTCCCCATTTCTTCCAGATCATGACCAGTCATTACGACATGTTTGACAAGAGTTCACAGGGTGCTTGACAGTTGATAACAAGGCTGTCAAGTTTTAACCAGTTTACAGGATTTGGGTAAGCTGACAGGCGCTTATTGGTGCGCCGCACCTCCGCAACATAACGCCCAAATTCTTTTTAAATTCATAAAAAAATAACGTAAACGTACACTCTTGCTTGAATGTGAAGTACTCGGTTAGATGACGACACTCATGATTTCCTCGCAAGAGGAAAAGTGTGTTCGGGTAGCAGATCTTCAACGCCCACAGGTACAAGACGCATTCGATCGAAAAGTATCCTCGATCAACATAATCGCCCAGGAAGAGATACTTCGTAGTAGCTGGTGATCCACCAACCTGGACAAAAACGAAAATTAAGCACTCAAAAAACAAACAATAAGAAGAGATGAGCGACAGGCTCCAAAAGAAAGACCTCCAGAATGTACACTTCCCAAATAGCACAAGAATGCTGAGTAATAGGCAAAAGTCAGACCCCAGGCGGGACTCGAACCCGCATGTTCCGCTGACTGTGCGAGTACTTTATCCATTACCCCACCAGGGCCAGTTTTACCCCTCTTTTCGGTGCCTGGGGTCTGACTTTTGCCTATAACTCAGCATTTTTGCCATAACTTTCCACACGGTTTACTACTTTCGAAATGGTAGAGTT